ATATGAAGGAAAAGAGCATTTTATAATTATATAAAAAATATTTTAAATAAATGATACAAATGAAAATTATAATTGTTTTTCGACAATAATTTAGAAATAAAATTAAAATAAAAAAATGATTTAAATAATGTCGAAATTGATTACACACAAACAAATACTTCGAATAAATTATCACACTAAACTTAACATGATTAAAATGTACATTTAAATTGACGAGATAATATACTCAAAATAAAGTAAAGATAATTGAAAATGTATATGTCAATATCACACAATACGAAATAAGTCTGCAATATATATATACATTGTTTTATAATTTATATAATGAATACTATACTCAAATGCAAAGCAGACGCACCAAACATCTCTAGTAAGAAAGAATATAAATTATTTTATTTTAATATTATTTTTTTATATACCACAATAATAATAATCTTTACATATAACACAATATCTTTTTTTATGTTTTTTAATTCGTATATCTACTAATAAATTAATAATTTTATAAAATTTTGCCAAATTAAAAACATTATAACCTAAATTTTTCTATTCTTTATTCGCTCATTTCCAATTCCAATATCGCGTACTGATCGATCGCAGTATCGAGCAGGGTCTTTCGCCATGGTCCGGCAAAATACGGTGCTTCGAATCCCACGCCTAGGTGAGTCACCCTGTGTAATACCGTCGTGCGGTGATCCATCGACTTTAAAGGACGTCGCGAATTACGTAGATTTGACGTACTGTTATTGATCACGAAGTCCCGAAGCATTAAAGCGGGAAGCCTGTTGGAGATGCATCCGACGTCACCCTCCACGATTTTTCTACTACGGCCACTCGCGAGATAGTTCGATTCCCTCGTGCGAGTTCGCAACTGGCGAGCATCGATCGCGTTCGATTCTCGCGTTCGAATGGGATAAAAAGGCGGGGAAAATAATGGCGTACACCTTTAATAATAGCATCAAACATAATTCAACCGAGTCGATGACATTTTAGATTTCGTTCAAGCTGGACGATTAATCTGGTAATTTGAATTCTAGTTGGTTGTGGAATCCAAAATTAATACAGGCGAATTGGTTTTAGGTTAGTCGATCGTGATATTTGAAAATAGAAGTGTGACATAAAATTTATGTAGCAAGCGGCAAGAAGAGAAACTTTTATACAAGGAAAGAATTCTGTCTGGGATATTGACAATCCTTGTGATAATAATTCTTTTTTATTAATTAACAGGTTAGAATAGTAGAAATTTCTATGTTTGATTGATTTAAGGATTTGGTTGACAAGGTAGGTTCATAAATTGGTTAAAACTTGAGAATTTGAAACAACTTTTTAATATAAGAGAATAAGTGAAACAGGTTTGTTACATCCTCTTATTGTGATATACATTGTATAATTAATTGATATATTTTAATTCGTATATTCGATTAATTTACAAGATATTATAATAAAAATTAATTAATTTATATATATGAGAATGATATAAATATAAATTTACAATAAAAATTATATTGCTAAATTTATTATGTTTTGATCATTTTTGGTAAATAATCAAAGAATTTGGCTTATAATTATCCCATCTGAAGACTTTAAATGAATCTATTTTCACAAATTCTCATAATACCTAATAAATGCAGACAGTAATGAAATTAAGTTTACTGTGTAGTATTTTGTTACTGTAAGGCTATATCATACAAAATTAATTATAAATTATCACTTATAACATTTTAACATAAAACAATTATTTTGTTTTATTGCAGTCTACTTTTTAAGAATCATACTGCCTCAAAGCTCTTTGTGGAAAGATTAAATGTCACTTGGAAGAGATAAGTCATAGAAGAGTTAATTTGAATCTACTGAATTATCTAATTTGACTTAAATTTAAATTTGCTTTCACTTGGATTTCCCAAAATACCTATTTATCTCGCTATTTATTTTAATTTGGGAAACATATAATTTATCTAATTAGTGAAACCCGTTTTTCCCTTAATAGAAGGAAATGTTGGTATCAGTTTGATGTTATTATTTTTACAATACGTGTTAAATTGTGTGATTTTTCACACGCGTGTTCTTGTATGTTGTCAACATAATTACGACAAATTAATTGATATAAAAACATCCGACTACATTCATAAACTCACGCAAATGTTACCTTCTTTATAAATATCGGATAAGTATAATTTGAAAAAATTTTAAGGATTTTAGGGGAATCGTAAAAGTTTTAATTGTCGAAGTAATCATAAAAGTTTTAATAGAATTTTAAGAGATACAAATCTCAGGTTGTTAATCCTCTTGGCTCTACGTTTCCTTTGCCTCTTTTTCTTATCTCGAATCGGGCGAGATAAATTAATGAAAATACCGCAAGAACCGTCTAACAAGGGAAGATTTTTATTACGTGCTGGTGATGTCTATACATTATTCAAGTAACTGAGAATTTAATCGATGATTTGAAATTCCAGCCTCGATTTTTCTATCGTTGGATATGAATACGACGATAAATATTAATGCACCTCCGCGTTGAAATCGTGTTATTAAAATCTATGCATTATTTTGAATTTTTATGCCCGAGTATTCGAAGGACAGCTTCGAAATTCTACTGCCGCACTTTTTCGTAGATTAACTTCGAAATTCGCAGCTTTTAAATTGTCAACCTCGATTCGAAAGTGCATTCAGGATTTTATTTTTTCATAGCTACTATAATATATCCAATTTCGCACAAGATATGTAATTGTACATCAATTGATATCAACGTTCTCTCCTGGTTAATTTTATCAATTATAATATAAGTTATATTAAATATATATTTTTTATATCTCCATTTCATATTTTCATTTCATGGATAGTAATATACGTGTATAGATAAAGTAAAAATTTAATTTCGTCCAATATTTGAACACTGTTATTTACAGAGAGCGAGGTTATGTTTATTTATATACATGGCCTTATTTTAATTATTATAAATTATTTTTTCATCTTAGATAAGTAGCACAATTTTTTTAATATAATTTTTTAATGTTATATTCTTTATTACACAAAATTTTTAAACGTTAACAAAATAATTCAGTATTTAAAATAATGTATAAATTGTTGATACAATCAAGGTAATAATATATGAACACAAGAACGTATTAAAAATTATTGTAAATTGTAGAACATACTCTATTCTATTTAAAGAAATTGCAAAATGAAGGATTGTACATTCGTAACTAATATTCAATAATTCAAAATTTCATAATCCAATAAAAAAAAAATTCAATCTAGTCAAAATAATAAAAAAATAACATACGAATAATAAATGGGCTAAAAAGTGTTTGAAGCATTATATAACATCTTTAAATTTAGGTTACATTGATTAAAAAGATACTTATTCAAAAAGAATATAATAATTTAACAAAAGAAAGTTCAAAATTTAATATTAGTATACAAATACTTAACAAAAACAATACAAATAATACACAATACACTCGTATACTATTTCAATCGTATGACAACATTGGTTTAGGTTAGGTTAATTAAAAAAGCAGAAAATCGAAAAGAACATCACACTTCAATAAAAAGGACTACATATTCACAAACTGATATACGAACACCAATACAAATAATATTAAGAAAATTCTTTCAGTTATCAAATAACATTTTTGGTTTTACTCGAAACAAAACGTTCGACGGAAACACTTTTTGTTCTATAGTAACGCAGAATGAGTCAATTCGACGAACGACGGAGAATCGATAACGAACAAAGAAGCGGCTCCCTTTAAGGATCGATATTACCACATATAGATACTTCTTAGCGTAGCCAGGAACGTGTAGAATGCCTGACGACGTAATGCACGGGTCGGTTTGATTTTCTGCTCGAGCCGAAGAAGTGTCGGTGGCCCGAGGGCAACCAACCCTGTTCGAAAGAAATTAATAACTTTATTGTCATCGGTTCTTGAACTTGCCTCTCTAGATGGCGGTGCGGTTTATTTTTCTTTACTCGTTTAACGACATCGAGACGTGCCAACGTCCTTTCTCGCATTGTAGAACGTCGTGCTAAATATTCGTGGTGGGAATATGGTTGAAAATCTTGATGTCACATTTTTTTATATTTTGACATTTGTTAGATTTTTGTACGTTGAAAGGAAAAATTTAGTCTTTTAAAGTCCAAATGAATTATGGTGCATAATATATATAGTATTTTGTTTTTATTAATAATTGATGATGTCTTTTTGTCATTTGTCACTAGTTAGAATATGCCTTAAACTTTGCTATCAGGAAAAGTTGTAATATGATTAATGATCATATTTATTTATCAGTTTAATTAATATAAATATACAACTTTTAATTAAGTAAATCATTTTTTAAACAATTTCGACTGAATAGATTTTTTCAAAAATGTACAATATTGATAAATTAATGATATTTATCTTACAATAATTATGAATTCTGTTATAAGAATAAGAAAAATGTTCTATCTTATCTAGTATAATTATCAAATAATCCTAAATGTTATTAAGTAATGTTATAAGTTACTATATAAATGACAAATTTTTTTTAAAACATCATTTCGTATATTTTATTCAAAAACACGATACATCTTTTTTCACAACAATTAAAAAAAAAAACATTTAAAAACTATTTATTTCCCATATCCAAAGATTTTGAATAAAATAAATATCCTACTATTAATACTACTCAAAATAAACTATGAATTTTGTTCAATTTAACACTTTTACTTATGTTAATAATAATTCAATTAGTAATTAATTATATTTATTAGTTCAAGTTTTTTCGAAAAAATTTCCTAAATATTCGAAATTAATTACAGCATATAATACTAATGACAAACATTTTAAATGAAATTTTCCCAACTATAATTCCAATATACAAATCCTGAAACGATCTTAACCTATCTTTTTCCTTCTTCCTCACAGGAATTAACTTCACGAATAATAAATTCCTTTTGAGGTATTTATAATATTTACAAACACACTTTACCGATAAAGGTGTTCTTTCTTTGATTACAGAAAGGAACGTGATATTTTAGAATACTTGGATTTGTGCGTGGATCCGCCTGACCGCTTGCCCGTGTTTTGTCACTCAAAAATGCACTCGCAGTCAGCGTGTGACTGCTACTGCAAAACTCGCGTGCCGATAGCGCGGCAAAGGGAGGAAATTCAATCTGCGAGGAGCCGTGTCAGAGATTCTAGGAGCTCAGTTCCTAAAACGGACGCTATCAGAAGCGCGAGAAAAATTCCGTTGGTTTCAGCAAAAGTTGTCGATGATGAACAGGTATAATTATTTTATAATTTTACCACTCTTACCATGAAATTTCTAATTCTTCCATGCAAATTATTATTTTTTACAATGATTATTTTAATCGTTAAATTAATTATTATTTTTAATTATAATTATCAAATCAAGTCTAAATCGTACTTATGGAGAGGAACACAAAACTTTATATCAGAATCTTTAATATAAATTAAATTATAATACTTATACGATATTTATAAACAGCAACGCCATTTTCTCATTACAGTGTTATATTTTAATTTCACAGTAATATTTATTTTTTAATATTTTATAAATTTCAAATAAAATCAAACACGAGCAATATTTTTCTACAATCTTTTATATATTGCTATATAGTTTTATATATTTTTATTATTTATATATTTATATTATTTTTTATGTTTTTACCAAATATTGCTGTTGTTGAATAATATCAATTTTAAGTTTCTAAGCTTACACTTAATGATTACATCACCCTAAATTATTATAACTGCATAATTCAGCTTTCGAAGTCATTTTATTTTTTAAATATATTCTTTCAAAGAAATACCATTGAATCACCTAAATCTTATGATATGTAAAAAGAAAATTTGTTTGAGATACTGAACGTTTTTTCTGATACGCTATTTAATTTTCAGTTCGATAGCAAAAGATCTACGATAACACTTCCGGTTACGCCGGATCTTAGCCCAGAGACGTCGGCAACTCTCGACGACGTACAAAAATTGATCAAAGATGCACAGATTCGTATGAAAGAAATAAGCATAGTCACTAATTGTAATCGACTTCCAAAAAATATGTCTGTGTAAGTATCCCCGTTACGCAATCAGCCAATTCTCCATTTCTCTAATACCGGAAGTTGCCTCGAATCAGGAACTTCAAACGCCGTTTATCACTGACTTTCGTCGTTAAATTAACAAAACTTATAAAACCTTTTTGAAAATAACATTTTCGTAACAAATACAAATGTAGTATAATCTCCCAATAATTACAGTATAATTTTATTATAATTAAATTTATAATTATACTACGTATATGCAAGTCCACATCACAGGTCAATAACTCGACTATTGGTAGTCTGACTGTAGTTCACTTTTTCCGCCTCATTTTCAAAATTCCAACAGCCGAAACTCTCTAAAACCTACGTCGTTGGTATTTCCCTGATTCTCGTCTCTCTCCGTTAAAAATATTCACCCCTGTTTCGTATTTTTAACAAAATCAATATACAACATGACACTTCTTTTAGATGTCCCGACGAGGCGCCACTCGACGACGAAAACGATCAATTATTATACATTCGCGAGCGCGTGGCGCATAAATTTCAAGAAGCGAACGGCTGGGTCGATACCAGCTCCACGGACTCGAGAATTCAACTCTCCGGCGAGGGGCATCCCCTGGCGAAGCCTAAGAGAGTTGTCGATCTGTCTGCCCCGAAATTCAGAACCTCCGAGGACCGTTACAAAGAGTTCTCGCGACAGAGGAAGCTGGATATACGAAAGTTGGGCCTGCCCTCGTCGCTAGCAGACGACGCACCCGTGAACGATGAAAATGGGAAGCTCGATGATCAAGCACGTTCTCCAAGACGCGAGAGAGACAGAGGTATCGACGCGTGTTCCATTCAGACGTGTCCTCCTGTGAACATCAAGGGAGACCTGATTACCCAGAATTTGCAGAACATCCACATCTCACCGGACCCCTTCTTCGTGCAGGAGAGCCAGAACGTTGGTACATACGCGATAGTTCACAATTTTTCCAGGAAGACCGAATCTCCGAGGAGGAGAGAAAAGGTGATTAAGATATCGGAACATAGCAACGACGATAAGAACAATGGCAGACGGAGGAAAAGTGACTCCAGGGATTACAGCGATAATGGGTCTACACGCGATTTAGAAAGGTCGGGAAGAGCTGGTATCTCGGTAGCAAATGATGAGAAACTCACTGAAGATGCGAAAGAAGCACGTGAGACGTCAGTGACGAACTTGGAGAACGTGGAGAACTCCGAACCAATGGCTTTCAAGGACTCTAAGATTGATTATGGCGAGAGAATGTTAGAGGGAAGTGCAGGACCTATGGATGCTCGCGATGTTAATTCGGAGGACGAAGCGAACGATGGAGCGACGAAAGTAGGTTCGAGGAACGATCAGAAGCAAGTACGATTCGAGGAACAGGCATCAAAGCCGGAAAGCTGTGAGGATCGCTTCGAATTGCAAAACAGGGGCGGAAGCGACGCGACTTTGGTGCAGGATTTAAAGATACCCTTGACATCCCTGGAATTAAAGATTCAGGAAGTTTTAAAGGATAATATAGAGCAATTCAGACGGTCTTCCGCTTTAAGGGAGGTCGAACCGAACGATGAACACGTGCCGTTATCGAGCAAGGAGATAGAAGAAAAGCACAGGATCAATAAGAGGAGGCACAAGGAGATCTGCGAGAAGCGAGGAGCGAAGGATGAAGACTACAAAATTATAGACAAACGATTCGCGAATATCGTCAAAACGTATTGCACCAGGGATGACAACGGTTCAGAAGATCGTAGCCACGTTCTCTCCTCGAGCATGATCTCTTCCGAAGATTCTACAGAGTCAGACGATCTCTACGATCTCTACGAGCCACCTCTGAACGAGTTCGATGATGTCCTAGCCTCGTACAACAAAATAATCGACAATATCGTTCGCACCACGAAAACCATCGACGAGTTCCTATCGCGACCAGAACTCGACGAATATCGAGCAGAAAGCACGTCCCAGACGAAGATTAACAAAAAGTCTGTGTCAGTTAATCCGACATTATTGAACAAAGGAAGAATAGTCTCGATAGAAACGAACAATTCACTTCCATCTCGAACTAAACACTGTACTAATCGACCTGACAATCGGTCAACAAATGTAGACACGAACCTTGATAAATCGAAACGAAGCAGATCCGTACCTGCACCGACCAAGAGATCCGTATATCCGAGCAACGATGAGCCAAAGAATAGATGTATCGTTCCAAAGACACCGACTAGACGTCCAAGTATCAAAACGAAAGACAGGTTAGACGCTCAGAAGAAAACGCAGAGCCGAGAGACCACAGGGTCCAGCGAGGATAACAGTAAGAGCAACAAAATGTCGAGGATTGTGGACTCTAAACGAACCCGACCTCTTGAAACGCGTTCTCTTCGGTTAACAAATGACATGTCCAGCCTGACCACTTCCTCCACGTGTCCGCAATCCTCGAGTACTGATACGAAGACCACGAACGACACGAGGGTGTCGGAAGAGGTCTCAAAGTCAACGACCAACGACGAGAATGACGGAGTAGCAACGACCTTAAGAATAAATACGTTGGATGTGAATGAGAGGAAAACACAGCAGGATAATCTTGATTGCGCGACGTTGCAGGACGTCCTCAAACAAGGTTTCCCAGAAACAAAGAGAGATCTGATCGCGCATGTTAAGGATAAAGAGATAAAGGACATTCTCAACGTCAACGAGATCGTTCCTCTGATGGTGAGAGGCTTGCTGGAGAGTTTGAGGAGCGAGGTTAATTTTGGAAAGCTGAAGTTGCTAGTTTCCGAAGGGACGTCACCGAGAAACCCAGCTTCCGCTCACGACAGAGAGATAAAAATGATCGAAGCGTGGAGATCGGATGGCGAGTCTGAGTGTCAAAGTTCACAGTCGGACCGTCCGCCAAGTAAGAATCTTAGCACTACGGAAACGGTTGAATGCAACGACGAGATTATCGATGGACATGTCTCGAACCAGTCTGATCACGAAGAGGCTTTTAATTCCGGAAACCAATCTTCGAGATCTAACGAGACTATACCGCGGTCCAAAGCTGAGCATTGGCAAAATGAGAGTGTGAATGAAGCTAATTCTGACATGGAGTCGTTAAAAGAAGCTCGTATCGAGAATTACGTTAAATCCGAGTCTAAAGAAGATGACGGTCTGGAATTAAGCGAAGAGACGAGGGAAAATTTGATTTCTGACAAAACTGTATCAAACGTTGCTATCGACGATCCAGTTGGAACCGAGGAAGACCAGGTGGTTTCACAGGATAATGCATCGCGGAAGATAAACGAAGCTTCGAATGTTGAAGGTGTCGATAAGGAGCTGTTAATAATAAATGAGGCTGAAAATACGAAGCACCCTGAGTCCTCGAGTAAATTGTCATTGTCAAACGACGTGATATCCGATGTGAAAACGCAAAAATCCGTGGAATCGGTGGAGAACGTGGGAAAAGGTACTGGACAGTTGGGTAGTAGCTTTTCTCAGGTCTCGTCGTTCGATTCTCTCCACGATTGCGGATCTCTTCGATCTTCCTCGAGGAGTCTTTCGAAAACGTCGAATAATATGGAACTTTCGCAGGAAGTTAACGAACATAAGCAGATTGCGCGAACGAGTAACCTAATTGATGACAGAATAACGACTGTAGATATTTCGTTCTTCGATGGTGCATTTGAGAAGGAAAAGATTTTATCAGACGTCTACGATGAAACGCACAGAAAGTTCTTGTCTTCTACGTGCCTCGATTCCAATTATCCGACCATGCTCAATCAACAATATAGGTAAAAAATGAAGAATATAAATATTTCTTTGATGGAGAACATGGCGTTTAGAGTCTTAACCCTTTCGCTTCGGCAGTTCAGTCCGCCATAGTACCGTCATTGAACCTAACCTAACCAGGAATATGCACAGTGCGTGTGATTTTTGTGTATTTCTGTACGTTTTCCTAAGTCTTAAGTAGCAACTGTGCAGAATAAAACAATCGTATACAGATTACAGTTGTATACGCAATAATTTGGATATCGCATACATGGGGTGCCCATACTCAGGAGTCATCGCGTGGACGCCGCCTATATTCGGCGCTCGTACCCACAGGTCATCTCGTGGATGCCGCCTATAAGCAGCGCTCGAAGCGAAAGGGTTAATGTGCATTTTAATGATTTTAGAAAATTGTAACTTTTTCTAATTTTTCACAGGGTTTCTAACGGCATATCCACGATATCCTCGATAGAGTCGAATAAGGTAAGATATATTTATTGATTCGTGTGTTATACAGGGTGTCCCAACAACGGTAGTACAAGTGGGAAGGGGGTGATTCTACATGAAAAAACAAATCGAAAATAAAGAATAAAATTTTTTGGTTCGAAACTTCGTTACCGAGAAAATTGAATATTCACTGAGTGCGCATGCACCTAACTCGTGGATATTCAAAATCGATTATCTCGACAACGAAGCTTCGAATGAAAACATTTAATTTTTTATTTTCGATTTGTTTTTTCACGTAGATTCACCCCCCTCCCGGTTTTACTACTGTTGCCGGGACACCCTGTATAATTAATATTATACGTACATTTACACATTAGGTATTATGTATCCTGTATATAATTAATGTGGATGTAATTAACTGGAGAAAATAAGTTAGCTTCTAATCAGAATTGCCAATTGTTTAATAATAATTTGTTTATCAATATATGTCGTGTCTTTTATATTAAAAATTTATTTTCATATTTATATCGATTAAGATTAAAACGAATTAATTCTGCATGTACATAAAATTCTGAGCAAATTAATTAATATAAAAAATGTGAATTAATATAAAAATTTATTTATCAAAGGAAATTTATAAAAAAGAAATTTATCAAAATACGAAAGATTATTTATGTTTTATTATTTCAGACCGAAATTTCATCGAGTACTTATCACTCTGAGGGAGAATTATACATGCCTAGTTCCGGTTCATATTCCCTAGGAGAAATTCGAATGTTGATGAAAAGTCAATCAGATGGAGAAAATACAGATGATTTTGATGATAATGTTTCGATTTTCGTTACAAAAAAGATGTTGACTTCGTGGAACGAATCTTCGAAGGTAAAATAATTGACTTCATAATAATATATTTAATATATATACATGAAGTAAGTATATTAAAATCTTAAATAAAGAATTGAATTTAAATTTTTGTTAAAACCAATATTTTCTAATTATATTATGTTTTTAATTACATTATTTATTCGATTTATCTTTAGTCGCTCATTCAAAGTATGGGAGAAATATAAATATTATCAAGTATATCACTGCTGCTGCATCTTCGATACTGATGTACCTAGTGTACCATATTCTCCATTAAATCAGCAATTATATAATTTTAAAGAAGCATTAAATACGTGAAAAAGGATACTAATAGGATATTGTAAATAAAATTATAATTTTAAATAATTATATTATGCATTCAATTATTCTAAGTGCTATTTAATTAAGCCGAAATAATGGAATATTGCTTGTCATTGTTACATACACTATCACTAGTACTTGCATGATAGTACATGTAAACACGTTACTACGTTTCCATGGTATATGTAAAAACACGTTTTCCTTTTTGTAATATTATATAATATTAATTTTTTGTCGAATTTATTTAAAAAATGTATAATAGCGGGAATATTTAGGATGAATGTCGATACGAATGACGAATAAATAGAACAATTATTGGTATGAACTATTGTCAGTGTGAATGACGAGCGAGCAAATCGAGCGGATGTTTACGTTGGATTACACGAAAAATTTTTGAGATGCTTTGTACGAGTGTATGTGAAAGAAAGGAAAGAGACTGAATTACTAAGCAAGGACAATAATAGAGAAGAAATGTCAAAAAGTCACACAGAAGAATAGAAAAACAGTCGTAGAGAATCGTGAAAGAGAATAGAACAGTCATGCGAAACTCAGTGTACTTGTTAAACGTAGTAATATTTTATTTTTAATTTCACTTTAACTCGTAATAAATATATTTTAAATCTAGCATCTTTCTTTGCCAATCTACACCTCTACAGATGTTTTATTATAATAGTATCATGAGAATAGATAAGTATTTAGAATATACTTTACAACAGCTGTAAAAATTTTAATTTTTTATTGTATAAAAAATGTACTTAGTGAAATTATTATTAGCATAAAATTTAAATTCACTTGGAATCCCCATTTTCTTAATATTCACTTTAAGATTACTTTTATATAAGTTTAAATAAGATTACTTATCTTTATTTATCTATTAAGAAGATAAGATTACTTATCTACTACGTCTAATGAATTTATCTAATATATTTATTCATTATATCTAACGAACAAATAGTAAATTTCCAACTCCAGATGCTGATATACAGTTCCACATCATTCGGTATCTACTGCTAAATTTGACTGTCGTTTGAAGAATTTTGATATTCACTCTTGTATTTAGTTTTCTCGCACATCACATATTTTTTCTATCAAACCCGAAAATATTAATTTTTAATTTGCCCATAAAAATCACACTTTTCCAAAAATCTTTTATATAATTTTTTGTAAATTTACGAATTTTACACCCATTCTTTAAACTTGCATCATATTACTGTTCTCTCCTATAAATTCTTTTGAGTAATTCTTCAGTAATTTAATTATTTTTTCTTATTCTGTTGCTTTTACATACTATAATTTGGATCAAAAGAATGTAGGGTATTTCCCAATTTTACAATGTTACCAACAGTGTATCATTTTTATTGACCTCTAAGTTCCAAATAACTAATGATAAATTTTATTTAATATCTTAAATGTTATTAAAATCTGTATAATATGTTTGTAAGATATCAAATAAAGAAATACTAAATTATATATTTGTAAGTTCTAATCTTTAATTTCTAATCATTTGGTGTGATTTTCATATTTTATAGGAAAAGATCGATCGGGCAAGTAGGTATACGAATTTAAGTGACAGTCACTGTACATCCCTAACCTGTGATCTTTTATTATATATTTTAAGACCAATAACGATAATCCTACTTATATATGAAGTTTAGATTAAAAAAGATAAAGATATTTTATAAATTGAGTGGAAAACATATGTAACCAGAGAAAATACAATAGCATCGTGGAGGATTATTTTTTAAACGATCCAAACATAACCCAACATTTTGGGAAAAATATGAAATTTGTTGATACAAGAATCTCATAGATAACGCGTTAACAAAGTATAGTTTACTTTAGTGGATTATTAAAATAATGTACTGTTTACGCTTTCATAAATAAAAATTATATACAACACAAAAAAACGACGCGAGAAAAAATGTGCGACAAGTACGTCATTGGTTACTCGATATCTGAAAAAAAGCGACAGAAATTTAATTGGAATGATTTTTGTAGTGTTTGTGAATCCGAAGGGTTTCTATTAAAAATGGTAAATAGTTTTTAACTTCTTTTTAATTAACATTAAATAATTGTATCGTACCAGCTATTATTATAATGTAAGGTTATGTATATTAATTTTTTATTTAGTATATTACACATATTTATCGTATTTATAGTATTTATAGTATTTATAGTATTTAATGAAATATTTTGCAATTATTACATCATTTTTAGATTGATATAAATTCTGATCTTGAACCTCAGGGACCATTTCATGTTTTTATATACAAAATGGCAGATAAGCTAGCACTTGCTGAATATGGTGATCAAAATGTATGAATAATGTTTTACATTTGTTATAAGTAAAAGCATTATGACTATAAATTTATATTTTAGGCCAAAGCAATTATTTCAAAAATGAAAGAATACTTCTGTCGACATCCAGAAATAATAGTTATTGATCCCTTGGACAATATTAGGATTTTAATAAATCGTTATAAATCATATGAAATCTTACAAAAACAGTTAAAACTCAAAGGTAAATAAAGATTTGTAATACTTACTATAATTTTAATAGCAAATGATTTAATTATTTTTTTACAAAAATTCATAAAATTTAAATGCTAACTTATTAATTTTAACTTATATTTTCTTTCTTTTAGATGTATTTACTCCAAGGTTTGTAGAAATTACAAGTAACAATAATCTTAAGAATAGAACACTGTTAAGAATGACAGGTATTAAGTTCCCATTTCTTTGTAAACCACTTGTCGCACAGGGTTCCAATGATGCACATAAGGTATTCCATTTAGTTAAAAAATTGTTAATACTATATAAAAATGAATGGTAAATATGTTTCTTTAGATGATGGTGATCTTCAATGAACAGGGTTTAAAAGATTGTCCACGTCCCTGTGTGGCTCAAGAATTTATCAACCATAATGCAGTTTTACACAAAATATACATAGTTGGAGAAAACTTTCATGTATTTGAAAGACCTAGTTTCAAGAACTTTTATGAAAAAGACTGTACTGCATTAAACACAATATTTTTTAGTTCTCACGATATATGTAAGAGCGGTACCAAGTCTAAATGGTCAATTTTAACAGAGGAAAACATTCCATTAACAGTAAAACCTAAACGTGAAATATTAGAAAAGATAGTTAAAAGAGTTACAGAACTTTTTGGACTACTCTTGGTTGGTGTAGATGTTGTTATTGAAAATCATACTGGGAAATATGCAATCATAGATGTAAATATGTTTCCGGGATATGACAGTTATCCCAATTTTTTTGAACAATTAATAAGCTGCATTAAGAAGTTATCAATTAAACATAAGGATTTGTAGCAGCATTCTAAAAAGTATATATTGAAAAAATGTTTAAATGACGACTTAGATTCTGGCTTTGAAAGTGATGAAAAGAAGAAATATTCTACAAAAAGGAATAAATAATACAAATAACTGACAGAGGAGATTGATAATTATATCAAACTGATACTCCAGTTCACTATGTTGTTGCAAGAACAAAGTAATATAATTTAAAAAAACAAATAAAGGCTTAATTCATTTTTGCCTTTGAAGGCACTTAAAATTGTTATAGCAGATCTGCGTTTTATGACCAGAACTACTTGCTTTTTTCCACATTTTTGGGTTGTTTGTTCATAATATATAGCTGTAGAAAAAGATTAATTTTGTTTACTGTTAGCATCGAAATTTTTTAATAAATTAGACCATTGTTAAACGCATTACTGCCAAAGAATATTTTGTACTTTTCACTTGTATACTATATTTGCATAAATGGTTGAATAAAACACCTCTGGGATTAATGTATGTAACGTATAAATTTACAATTTTATAAATTTATATTTTCATTGTGAAGTATAAAACTGTACATTAAAAGTATTATAAAAATATTAAAAATACATAATAAAAGGGTTATTGAATACTATATTTTTTGTTCGTATGTCCCTGTCATATCAAGTTGTTTATATAGTTATTTATTTCATTCTGATAAAATTGTAAGTATAAATTTCACATGATTACGGGATGACCGTTAATTATTTTAATTAAGTTCAAATTACAGCAGTGTTTTAAACAAAAAATTAAACTATTTTATTTTTTCGCTTACATGTCAAAAAGACAAATAATAATTTATTTACAAGAAAATTGAAATTTTTCTACAATTAAACAAAATAATTTTTCAGCTGTTAGAGTCTAACTGATTATTTTCATTTTTATCGCTTATTTCTTTCTGTTTCATCCAAGCCTTAGCAGATGCCAAAAATTTCAAATTTGGTTTTTGTGATTCATCTTCAGGGAAAACAAAATCAAATACTTCTTCCCAACCATCATCGCTCTAAAAGTGAAAATTACAAATATAAAAAATATTTCTTATATCACTTTTAAGTAGTATAATAAATTTATTTACCCCATCTGCTCCAACAATACGTCTCCTACGTTTAATCCTTCGAGGCATTTTTTCCATAATTTTGGACCGAGTTTCATCATCTCCTTTTTCATTTTCGAAATCTCTCCATGCTTCTAAAAGTAATGCTCTACTTTCCTTATCACCGTTTGCTCTAAGTGCATCATTTCCACGTTCAAAGATTCTTCTTGCCAATACAACATTATCAAGACCGTCTTCATTTGTCGAATTTGCTAACTCAAATTTAGCATATGCAATCCAGACCTAGATATCAAAATTTATACTTAGTAATCATATAAAATAAATTATAATTGCAAATTTTGTATTTAATTATAATTAAACTTACTTTGACGTGAAGTGTACGTTCTAATAATCTTTCGAATAACTGCCTTGCATTCTCTGTTTCTTCTTGTGATATTTCAAAATCAATATATGACTTCCATAAAAGTTCTGGCATATCCAACCTATGAATTAAAATAATAATACTATACAATATTATTGTATTAATATATTGTATAAATATAATATTAATATTATATTTATAAATTATTAATTTTTAGGTATTTTACCTTGGCTGTGATATAGCTAATTCAAAAATAGCTCGCGCCCGTTCTACATCACCTAAAAGTGTTTCTAATTCTGCAAACTGAACATAAAAGTATTAATGAATAATTTTTATAAACTTTTAAGTAGTAAAATTATAATAAATAATAAACTGAGTTTACATACTTTCATCCAAGTAGTACAATTTTCTGAACCGAATTCAAGGAATTTTTCATATAGAATTCTACATCTATCAAATTCTCTCAACTGTATTTCTAAATCAATGTATCCACGATATAATTTATCTTTGGGACAAGTACCTAATGCCATACCCTATAATCGATTAAAATAAAATTACTTTTTTTCTTCTCATGACACACTTTATTGTTATAAACGTGTGAAATTATTACTTACTAATGTTTTCCTAGCTGCGGTTAAATTTTTTTGTCTTATTTCAAAATATGCATAAAGTAACCAGATTTTAGAAAAAGTGAAATGCTTGTGAGGAATTAATTCTAGGCAAGCTCTAAAAGAATGTAAACACGTTAATAGAACTGTAACACTTTGTATGAAAATGTATTCATTACCTATAGACTTGTCGACATCTTTCTATATCTTCAGTATCAAGCTCCTCAAAAAGAGCATAATTTATCCAAAGATAAATGTATCTCCTCCAAAATAGTTTCTCCTATAAAAAATAATAAATTTATATTATAAATACTTATTTAATATACGTAAAATACTAAATTAAAGATACATCTTACTTTAGTTGGTGGTACATTAACTATTGCACGTTCATAAGTTTCTCTTATGACTTCCACATTTCCTTCTGATTCTACTAATCTCAAATAATCAAACCAAGCATCATAATTAGAAGGATTCTCTTTTACTTCTTGTTCATATTGATATTTTCGTTTACTTACTATTACATCTTCGATACCTGTAGAAGATGAAATAATATAACTACACAAATATATATTTTTTGAAATACTATCCATTATAATAAATTTGTAATATATTATAGTACCTGAACGATCTCCGTATTTTTTTTCATGTATTGTATATGCTTTATAAATCTCTTGTGTTCTTTCTTTTGGAATATGATCTAATGCATATTTATAAATTACTCGTGCTCTATCATGCTGTAACAAAAATATAGTATGTAACAAAAAATATAATATGCAGTATACATTACATTAAAACATTTCTAGTTCCTTCTTACTTCTCTTTGTCCTTCTTCAAACTTTGCAAATGCAATAAATAACCTTTCATCCAAATTTTCGTCGCCATAGAAATTAATGGCATGTTCATAAACATTACGAGAACCATTAATAAAGCCATGAGATTCCTCAAAACGTGCATATTTTATCCAATGTTTAACATCAGGATGAACCATTACAAATCGTTCATAAATTTGTCTAGCTCTCTGTATTTCTTTATATCTCAATTCAAACTTAATATAAGTTTGCCAAGCTTGTTCATCAGGTTCCCATTCCATCCATCTTTCAAATACCTGACGTGCTCCTAAATATATTGCCCAATCATTGCATTTTTAGTGTATAATTTGAAATTAGAAAAAAGTAAAGAAAGAAATTTACCAGCAATATTTTCTAACATTTCTTCCATATAAGTATATTTATACCAAAATTGATTTGCTCTAGGCAATATAGTAACAGCACGATCCCATAAATTTCTAGCATGATTCACTTGACGATTTCGCATTTCCATTTCTGTATATTTCAGCCATAATGTAATATTTCTATGATCAACATCCAAAGCACGTTCATATATGGATCTGAAATTTATAAATAAAATAATTAGGAATTTATAAATTAAGTTTCAATGTTATAAAGTTTGTAAAAATAATATTGCATATCATCTTCCTAAATGTTTTATAATTGCTATAAGATTTTGTTTACTTCTTTTTAACAGAAGTACACATTAATTTTGAATAATATAATTTTATTTCAAAAACAAAAACTTTTAATTTTAAAAATAAATGTCAAAGTAATTGTGTATTTTATACCGTGCTCGTTGTATTTGTTTCTGACTTTCTTCCCATTGTGCATATTTTATCCAGTTTGAAATAACTGTGCGATTTTTACGAATATTATCTTCAAAAGCTTTACGTTTTCGATGTTGATAATCAGCCAATTCATGAGGATCAGAAATCTTTTGCTTTGGTGGCTAAAAATAATATAAATATTTATTACATATCAATCTTTTGTTTAATATATTAAATGTATAATTAAATGTAAAATATATTAAATGCATTAAAACATTATGCAGTTGCAAAATGTATTAAATGTAATAAAATTTTCATAAAACAAAACATGAAGAGTTTAGATCTTATAATTAAAAATTGTACAAGATTTGTAGAAGTAATAAAATAAAAATATATATAAGTAAATAGAAAATAGTTTTACCGGTGGTAAGATCTCTAGATCCCTTTCTTTAGCTTCTCGTAAAAGCTGTTCTGCTGTTATTTGAATTTCAGCAGGTGCTTTATTTTTAACCTAGAATAAAATATAATTTGAATAATTTTACATATAGTATAATAAATTATATTATTTACATATCATACTGTATAACTTATATAAAGATACAAAAACTATATACCTTTGCAACTTTTGGCATTTTCTGTGATTTCTCCATATTTGATTTAATTTATCTTTCTTAAGTGTATAAAAGATACAATTAAAGTCAGTAATAAACTAATACAATTTATTTTGTAAATACATTCATAATTCACAAAGAATAACTAATATCTTTAAAAGTAATTATAATCTAAAAATATAAAATGTAAATATTATTTTGTAGAATTATTTTTTACAATATATCATTAATGTTTGTTATTATTAAATCGCACCATAAGAAACAAACATATAATAGAAAGGTTAAGTGTAACTAAACAGTATAGTATATAGAATATATATAGTATAATGCTTCATATAGTTATTTTGATTTTTCATTATCTTTCACTGGTATTCATATTGTCAATATTTTTATTACAGTTTGAAGAGTGTTTTTATTATTAATGAATATCATAATTCTAATAGTTATACTTAATTTATGTTTAAAAATTAATATTTTTATTGTACATAAATTTAAAAGTAATATGTGAGTTATAATTTATTTATTTTAAGGAATTAAAAAATAAAAGATCAAATATATTAAACTCCCAGTAACTTTTATGCACTTTGATTGCTGACACTGTAATATGTTTATACGCGCGAACTTCTTACTTTTTTAAACACAATGCGCATGATGCTGAAAATGTATTCAACATTAACGTATTGCTTTCTTTATTGTGTGTTCAAATTTATATAAAGCAAAACAAAAATTCATTATTTATAAAAGAGACTTAAAATCATATGAGAGATTGATACGATTTAAAATTTGTTGGTTCATTCAATTTAATTCCTTTGGAACGAGTATAAGCGCGTGACTGGTTTTAATAGTGACGTTCGTACATTCGTGACGTTTGCACGATGAACGTTTAGTTGCAAACACGAGTCGTTGGAATAATAGTGTTTATATAAGTAAACCATAATCTGAAGTGTTCCTAAAAAGTAGTAATAAATTTAGTAGAACGTGATAACATATTGAAATATTTTACGAGAGTTTTCTTTCACGTGAACTATCCGAAATAAATGTGGACGAAGGTATCGGAGTAAGAAAAAGATAGAAATAGTATCTAAGAAGGAGAGGTTAATTCGTGCACAGAAAAGAGTCAGAGAAAGAAAGCAAGATATAGAGGAAAAGAGAGGGCACTCAGTGCCGAAGCTTTATCTTTATTATGCGCCGCTGAGTGAATTGTCAAGTGAAATCAGAAATGGCTGCCAACGAGCAACAACGCAAGGTGAGTAGGGAGAAATACATTGTATTTTTCTCGAATTACGAATGACTTTTCAATACGTTCATATCAATGGTGAATTCTTAATATCGTTGAGGGATAAATTTCTCATTCTGAACGATTGAACGTGTGATTTTTTCGCGATGATTTTGAGTCAAAAAACAGGATTTATACAATGTCTTGAGACTAGTCATACTAAAAGGAACAACAACGTTTTGACTTTAGTTCTGTGTTCATAAATATTTGACAGTAAGAGGAACTCAAGAATGAATAGCACAAAAATATACTACCATTTTATGCGAATAGGAATTTTTTAATGAGACGTTCTACTTCATTCAAATATTTGCCAGATCATCGGTGCATAGAAAGACGTATAGATTACTATATGCAGTATTTACATTTGCACAAGCAGCTGTCAGTAAATGAACAGAAAGCTGTTATGAAATTTTTTAAAAAATATGCAATGTGTGTGTCTCTTTAACGTTTGGTCTACATGAAATATGTCAGAAAATTTTTTTTAAAACATCAAAAGCTCGTACGACTTTGACGGGGATAGTGCGTACGAGACAATCAACGTACAATAGCATTAACGAAAGCTACGACGTATGACAAGCGACATGCCCTAGCAATTTTGACGATACTTCCTTTATAATATTTTTCTTCATTTCTTTAATCAACGATTCGACCTTGAGATACATTGAAATTAATGAGAAATTGCGACATTTACCGAAAATATTATGAACTTTGTGCTACCGAAGTAATTAGACAGAATATGAAAATTAACATATGCCTGTTATGACGGCGGATATCTATATTTCTTTTTCAATAAGATTCTCTACTACTACTACCACCACCAATTTTAATGGTATATTGTCAATACGATTACGAGATATTTCGGGAATGTGGCGAATGCTTCATTCTTTTGACATTGGATTCTACCAATCCAAGCATTTGTAGATCGTTCTCCTCGTTGTACCATAAATAGACGTGATTTTTTTCTTGGATTTATCACGGCATGAAATTTTTTTTTTGGGGAAAATTGTTTTTACAAATATAATATGATAGTTAAACGACTGTTCTCATCATTTACAGACAGTTCATTTTGATTTACGTTCAATTTCATAATGTTGCACGAAATATAAATTAATACATTTACTACATTATTATTTCGCAATAAAGTTGACTTATCAGGAAGGTAAAAATATTAAAAAGATAAAAATGAATAACGGAAAAAGTGTTTTCGATCAAAATTAATATATTTTTACTTTTATTTTTCACTTATATATATGTATATATTATATATGCTTACGATCTCCGTCATATTTGTGTGTTGATTCACGTTTACATTTTCTGATTACTTGTATAACATTTTATTAAGTATGGAAGTGAATAGAAAATCAGAAAATGTATGGAAAACAATGATTATAAGTAATTTATTTAATTGCATTTATAATAAAATAATGAAATTTAAAATATTCTTGTGTATTATTTTTGTAAAATTTGACATTCCTTATAAATATTAATAAAATATTTTTATAATTTTTTGTTTTAATATATTTAATTAAATAAAGTTCCAAGGAATATACTATTCATTATTTAAAATATTATATTTATAATTCTTCTTTAAATAAATGCTTCATTAAAAAATTATTTAATTAATACTTACAGTAAAAAAAAACTTAATCAATGTTAACAAAAATATATATATACATTTGAACATGTAATATTTTTATACTTGTTTATTAAATTAGTAACAATAAACAATATATTGTGTGAATTTTTTTAAATTACATCTGATATAAGTAATTGAGTTTAATACATTACTATTACCTATGAATATACAGGTAAGCATATGTGACCTTAGAAACTGTCAAGGCTTGTGATTTTAAGGCTTCAGAAATGCTATATGACTGAATATTGTTGTGATGGAAAAATTACAAAAAAATATATGTAATTTTGTTACATTTAAATGTAATATAATATAATTTTTGTAATAAATAATAATTGTATATTAATTTATGTAAATTATTATGATATATATCATTTCATATAATATTTGTATATATTTTCAAATATTTTTGTTCAAAAACTTTTCTTAATTTTTTAAATTTATAATATTTAGTTCTTTCAATTAAATTTTATTTAAATTGAAACAATAAATATTTAACTACTTAATTTATAAATAAAAATATATTCTTACAAAAATTTACACAAGGATAAAAGATAATTGTTTCTATCCAGTTTTGTATTTTACATTTACATTACTTTATTTTGTTCAATTTTTATTAATTAATTGTGCACATTTGTAAGTATATATTAACATAATAAATTTATAAAATTGTATTAATAATTAGGAACCACGTGAATTACGAGAACCAGCCCACCATGCAAGGAGACCAATGAATGCTTTTCTGATATTTTGTAAACGACACCGTGGTTCAGTGCGATCTGGTTTCCCACATTTAGAAAATCGTGCTGTTACAAGAGTACTTGGAGAATGGTGGGCCACCCTTCATCCAGATCAAAAACGTTCATATACAAATTTAGCACAGGAGGTAAATTACTTACATAATAAGAAAGTTAAATGTCATACTTTTAATTACATGTTAATACAATCTGTTGTGGTTCTTATAATAATCGTTTTTAATAACTTGTTTAAATTTTATAATAAATTAAAATAAAAACCATTTTTCAGTACAAAGATGCATTTTTAAATGCAAATCCTGATTTTAAATGGTACAAATTACCAGCACCTCCTTTACGTACTTTGAATACTAGGCCTACAAACAAAAAGGCAGAAACAAGTTCTAATGAGCAACCAGTAGAAAATGTAAAATCTGAGAATAAGTCTTCCGATTATTTAAAATCTGACAAGCGAGATGGACAATCAATTCAACCAGGCAAACTAGCTGATGAATCCCAAATTGGTGGCCTCAGTTCATTATTTACACCTCAAAAAACACAAGTAACAGATGAGCAAATAACTATTAATGGTTCTGTGATTGAAAATGATGTTCCAAAACCTCCTAAAAAAAGATATTCAGATATACCTTTTTCATCTGATACAAAAAGAGAATGTAAAGCTGATCTTTTTGATGTAAAAAAGAGGAAAAAATCTGAATCAAACAATAATGTACATCAATATGTAAGAAGTTTTTGTATTAAATTTTTTAATTAAATAATTAAATTTTGTTCTTAGCTTTTGAAATTTTATATTTTACATTGCTAATATCAAAAATTATATTTAGGATGCAGAAGATGAGAAAACAGAAATAAATAATTTTTTAGCTACAAATATATCTACAGACGAAAGTAATTTTAGAAGTGAACGAACATGCAAAGGTTTACGTTACCAAAAGTTCCTTGCAGAACAGATGAAAAATGTTGGTGTATCAGGACAACAGCCTAAGCGAAGAAGACAAGCTGGAAGTCGTAGGTAAATAATTATAACAATTTATAATACTCGTGTTACATACAAAATACGAATTCATCATTAAAAACATAAAATGTTTCAATTAACATTTTTATTAGTAGTGATGGTCAAACAAATGAAAGAAGAAATTCTATTTCTTCAAATGTTAGTGAAAAGACGGATTCCTTGAGTAGTGAAGGTGGAAACAGTTCCCGTGGTGAATTGGAACATCTTGTTGAAAGGTATCTTACATTTATTTACAGTTAGTACGTTTTTTTTTTATTTATACGAGCAATTGGAAAGAAATAATATAAATATTGTATAAAGTGCTGAGGGAAATTTGGAAGCATCAAAACCAGAAGAAACAGAAACTGAAGGTACAGAAGAGCAAGTTGATTTTGGACCATGGACTGCAAGGAAAAGGTTCCGAGCTGAGTAAGTTTAATATTATTTTATAAAATTATCTATTAAGATATTATGATAAATGATGAAAATGTATTATTTTCATTTTCTTGTGTAGGGACTTTAATTTAGAAAAGAAAATTGAAGCATTACCATCTTTAAGTTTAGAAGAATTTCAGGAAAAGAAGAAACAACAACGTACGAAAAAGAAAAAAATTATTCAAAAATTGACATCAACTTCAAATAATAAAAGATATCAGAATAATTTTGATACCAATGATCAAACAAATAATCAGAATATCTCAAAAATATGTCAAACGGAACGTGAAAATTCAGAAGATACTGAAAAACTGCTAGTTGGAAGTCAAAAACGAAAAGCACGAAAACAAAGCATTACGCGCAATGCTGCAGCAATAAATGATTTAAAGCAAGTCGAAATTGAGGAATCCGAAAAATGTAAGTATAAACAAGTAAAACTATATATTTTCGATTTTTCGATTTCCTTTTACTTTTGAATCATCGTTTTCATAGTATATCTATGATTGGAACATTAATATTAGTTTTTATAAATGAAAACTAATGAAATTTGTATTAATTTTTACTTGAATTAAAATTAAAAGAACAAACTGAGTTTAGTTAACTAAAGTATTAATTCATATTATAAAGTATTTATACATAATTTAGATAATACATTTACGTTCCAATTTACGAAGTTTTTATATGTTTGGTTAGAAATTAAAATATTTAAAAATTATTACGTTAATATGTTATATTTTGTTTTTGTTATTATATATATGAAATTATATACAAAATGGATTAAAATTACTTAACTATTATCAAGTTAATTAATTGTTTTAATATTAATAGCGTGGTGTGCGTCGCCGGACTTGGAAGCATTGGTATGTCTTGCAGCAGTTGCCGCCAACAGAACAAAACTTACCAAAAATAATACATAAAAGATACATATTTTTCGTATTTAGCAGTCGTTCGTGGCGTAAACTTACACTAAGTAAACCAAAATCTTATTCATTTATTTCTTAATACAATTTCTTATTAAAATTATTGCTTTGATTGCTGTTAAAAAAAATAATAACGTTTCTGATTCATAAAAAATGTACTACGTTATTATTGTTAATATCTATGTCGTTAATCGCTGTTAATATGAATATTGATACTGTGACTGCTATAGTTATTTTGTCACTCAACATGTAAAAATATTTCTTTTATGTTGCATAAATGTCCCACAAATGTGGTTTATGAAATATAGTTTCTTGTATAGTTTGTTAATGAATAATCTTGTTACTATTACATACTGAAGAATGATTCTAGTTTTCACTTTGCGTTGCGTGTAATTATTAAAATGTTACGTCAAGCATTCTATACTTGTTAATAAATACCTGCAGTGCAGATGATAGCCATTTTATCTAACTTGAAACAAAAATGCCCGCATATTGATATTCATTGGGAAATTTGTGCAACTTCCAACAAAGGACGTATTATAGTCATATAGGACCTGACTAGATAAATATTCAATGAAGGAAAGGAAAGGTGCATGCAATAAGAGAGTGTTAGCGAGTGTCGTATTATGAAATGATGTTGGCAAAGCAAGAATTTGATCTTGCAAACTAATTTTTCTAATGCAAAATGTTATAAATAAATACGATCAAAGAGGTACGGTAACAAAACCGTGATCCTTAACAAAGCCGATGAGCAGGGCATTTTATCATATCTATGTGTAGTAACGATAACACGTAATAGTTGCAAAGTCACTTGTTACTACTTTTGTTATTATCATCGGCGTACGTTTTATCTATATTTCATTATGTTCTGTAAACATTTTATGTACATAGAAATAGGTGCAGTATTATGAAAGATATCCTTCATGATCTGAATATCAAAAAAGGATATAATCAAAATATACATGTATAAATATATACATATATATATATACATACGCAATATACATATACACATAGAAGACCACTGTTTATATGCTATACGTGCGTACATGTAAATATACATAATAACGTCACGTATGCAAAATAAAAAATGTAAATTTTATTATTAGCAAATGTTCTAATATCAGAAAGCGTATGTATACGTGTATGTATATAATTTGATAAGACTACATATATATATGAATGTATATTTATAATATTTATATAACTATAATTCTAGAATTAAGACCATGAAAATGCGATTCTGTGCTCTGTTTGAGAAAGTAAGGGACTTGTCTGTGATTTTGGCTAAAGGAGTTTTTAATATTTTATATTTTTCTATTGATTTTCTCTCCTTTTCTTTCTCACTTTTTTAATTTCATTAAAGTCTAACTCCAGACACTATTAGTGAAATGATAGGAACAATTAATGTTAGAAAATTCCTCTGTAATATGGAAATGAGTATACTGATTATATTTCAAATGTGCCTTGAAGAGATATGAACATAGATATTAAACAATGACCAACAATATATTTTCGATTCGTTTCGTAATTCTAAATGTTTTTGGCTTTTACATTTATACCTTCCACATTTTCTAATTGTGGTTACGGTAAATAATTATAGCAAGGCTTTTACGGCCAACGTCCGAATATTTGGAATTATAAAAGCAAAAAATTAAGGGAAAGTGTTTCGAATTTTACTGCACAAACATCTATGTACCTAGCTTTAAAAGTATAATTTACACGAACATATATATTATACATATATATATACATATATATACGTATATATATAAATATA